CAGCTGTAGCCAGGGCTGGGGACTGAGACTGGTCTGGGCCCTGCTCCTGCTGTGCCTGAAACCTGGTGGTTCCCAGCCAGAGGGTCATGCCCTCCACTCAGGGCTACTGTAGTTGGGGTCAGGAAGGGGTTTTACCCTGGATGAGATTGGTTGGGCTCTGGGGGTTGTTGCCTTTCTCTGTAACAGGGGTGGCAGCCTCTACCGGGGATCTCCTGAGTGTGAATTAACACCCTGAATACTAATGAGCTAAACAGGAGCCACAATGTTGTGACAGCAGCCAGGGTGGAGAGAGGGCCAACTTCCTCAAGCCCCGCACCCGCGCGCCCGGGCCCTCAGTAAGTTTTAGCAACCGCGGTTGGGCCTTGGCTCCGGCCGGACGTGGCACTGCGCCTGCGCGCTCCTGGGCCCAGTTCAGCTCCCGCGGTTCCATTGAGCACGGGACGTGGCTGCGCCGGAGAGGCGCTCGTACTGCTCGGAGGTTTCTCCCCGTCTTTTGAGAGGGTTGTTACTACATCAAGTACTTGTTATGGGGGAAGTAACTCCCCGAGGGCTTGAGGAGGCGAAGGAGCTACGGGCAGGGGGAGGGAAGCAACTCCCCCGATAAGGTCACAACTGCAGACCCGGGCCCGGCGCTGGCCCCGCTGCACCTGGACCCTCGTACCTGGGCGCGAGGCGCAGGAGCAGGCCAGTGCCGAGCACAGTGAGCAGCGAGTGCAGCGCGTGCAGGCGGCAGGTGAGGAGCGTCAGCAGCAGACCCGCGCCTGCCGCGCCCAGCTGCTTCCCGCGCGGCCCTGCGGAGAGTAACGGACACCTCAGTCCCGGCCCGCCCCCGTACCCATACCCATACCCATACTAACCCCCGCACCCACCCGCCCGCTTGAAGACGAAGCCGACGGGCACGGAGACAAGCAGCGCGGCCAGGTACGTGCGCTCCTCCGAGCTCATGGCGCCGCGACCGCTGAGCCTGGAGCCGGGGCTGCTGCCCCCCAGCCGCGTCCCCACTCTGCTATTGGCTAGCGGGGCTGTCACTCACGGCGCAGCCCCCATTCCCGCCTGGGCAGCCACAAGTGGGCGGAGCAGGCTGGTGGGTGTGGCCCTTAGAAAGCTGGTTTCCTATGATTCCTCTGGGTGCGGGCGGCCCTTTAAGAACCGGCTTCCCACAACCCCTTGCGGGAGGGATTGGAGGCGGGGGGTATAGCCCTTTAAGAAGAGGTTTCCCAGAATTCCTTTTCAGGCGGAGCTGGTTTCCGGGGGTGGGATGGGGTGTGTGGGCCTTTAAGGAAAGTTTTCCCCACACCCCCCTGCGGGAAGGACCTGGCAGTAGAGGGCGCCAAAGGATTTCCCGGCATCTTCTGGGGTTTGGGGGTGGGTGTTTCTAAGAAGCGTCCCTGGGATGATGTAACGGGATCCTTTGGGCAGGGGCTTCCCCCGACGTGTTGCCTTGGCAGTTCTGGGGCGGCCCCGTGTGCCCTGTTTTTGCCCCCACCCTGGAGCCGGCTGCATCTCGGGGCCGCTTGCTCCTTGCAGCCCTGCCCAGGGGTGCTGGGGCCATGCTCCGCATCCACGTGTTGGCGGGGCAGGCTCTGGTGTGGCGCTCCGAGGACGCCCGGGAGATCCGGGAGCGGCACCGGCTGGTGGGGACCCTGGTGGGGGCGTTGGCCCGGACGCCGCGCCAGAACGTGCGGCTGGGGCTGCCCCTGCAGCTGCTCCCGGAGGAGGCCCGGCTGCTGGCTGAGATGGGGGCTGCAGTGCTAGTGAGGAGCACTGATGCCCAGCCCCAGGAGCAGTCGGCCCAGGTGAGCGACCCAGGGGTCTGTACCAGCCCGTGGTGGTAGGGGTAAGGCAGGGGCCTTACCCCTCTAGGAGATGCCGACTCTGGGGTGGGGGTACTAGCTGTGCTGCTGTTGCCATCCAGGCCCTGCCTTCTTTCCCTGAACCCAGGCATCTGAGGCGCAGCTGTATGAGCAGGGGCTGGAGAAGAGCTACCAGCAGCAGCGGTGCATGGCTGCACAGGAGCGCCGGGCCCAGCTGGCAAACCTGGCAGAGCGCATTGCACAGGGCCGTGCCCGCAAGCAGCAGCAGCAGAGGAAGCTGCCAGGTGGGATCCCTGGGGAAACTTGGCTGGACTGGGAAGGAGCCACACTGGGGAGTGGGGCAGGGGTCACGTGGCGGGGAGCGGGGCAGCAGAGGGCACAGACAACAGGGCAGGGTGCTAGGTCTTGGGCACCATGCTGTGGGGAGTGAGCTGGTGCCATGCTGCAGGGAGAAGCGCAGGGGACACCCTGGTAATCAGTGCTGACCTTGGTGACCTAATGTAGTGCCAAGTGGGATCTGTGAAGTGAGGAGGGGTCCTATTCAGCCCCATGAGTTTTCATGTCCATTGTACGTACTCTGCATAGCAGCTCTGTAGCCACCCTAGAGGCAGCTGCATTTCTGTGCTGAGCGTAGTCTCCTCAGTCTCTGCATTCCCAGACACTGCCCCATTGCCAGGACCTGCAGAGGAACGGGAGCATTTGGAGTCAGCTTTTGTCTTCCCCCATGAGTCCATGATGGTGCAGCTGCCCACGGCACGGCCCTGCCCTGGACAAGAGGAGCAGGTGGACTGGACCCAGCCCTCATGGGATTGGCCTCATGCTGGGCACCAGGAGCATGAGACCCGGTACTGCGTCTTCCGGGACCTGTGGGGCAGAGGGTACTATGTGACCAGTGGCAGCAAGTTTGGTGGGGATTTCCTTGTCTACCCAGGTGAGTTGTGGCAGGGGTTACTGCCCAGGCTTGGGGTGGGGCTAACTTTGAGGAAGGGGCAGAGGAGATAAGGATAGATGGAGAAAGGGGATTGACAAGGTATCACTATTACCCCATAGAGGGCAGTGGTGGGTCCAGAGAAGGGGTGAGGCAGCCAATGGTGGAAGGTGGTAGGGAGGCTCCTGGCATGGGGCTGGTGACTGGCACTGCCCCAAGGGCCCCGCCCCCAACCTCTGTACTTCTTCCCTACCAGGGGACCCCATGCGTTTCCATGCCCATTACATTGCCCTGTGCTGCCCCCCAGGGGCATCACTCCCACTCTGTGACGTTGTGGCAGCTGCACGCCTCGGCACCAGTGTCAAGAAGACAGTATTGCTGTGCTCAACTGGTGAGGATGGGGTCGTGATTTACACCTCCCTGCAATGGAGTGGGCTGCAGTGATCAGGGTGGGGGGTGTCCCTGCCCAATGGACAAAGAGCCCTGCCCAGGATTGGACAAAGCTGGGGCTGTGAGTCAGTCAGCCCCTGCCCTCCCTCCCAAAAGCCCATCCATGGACCCCAGTGGTGGCATCTGCAGTGGCCAGTTAGAGACTGATGGCACAGGAAATGGCTCTGGCTCTGATCTCCTAGGTGGGAACAGGACAGGTGTGTGGGATGAACTGACAGTAAGAGTAGGGGGTCAGGAGTGAGGGGCACCAGCAGGGCTGGGGGTTCCCCTACACTGATGGAATCCAGGGGAATTAATATTTTTGTATTTTAATTAAAACATCTGGACAAAAAAAACTTTCAGTGCACTCATGGCTCATCCTATGTGTGACCTCCCTTTCCATACCCCCCCCCCCCCCA